ATAGTTTTTATTGTATTGTTTAGGGAATAATGACAAGAAAATGCACACATGTTCAGCACAGACCCAGTTGTATTTTCAGAAGATTTTAATTCACGGTTTGTTGAATCCTCAGAAACAGAGCCCACGGATATACAGGGCTGGCTGTGGAAGGGTCCAAGGCTGTGCCCTGATTTTCTTTCAGAGTCAGGAATGTTGCCCTTGTTCTCCTTTGGTTTCTCAGTATGAGTGCCCTTTACTTTTCTACTGCATACACCACCAGGCAGTGCAACGTGCATCTGTTCTTTTGGAAGAAAATGCCAATTCACTGTCATCTGCATCCCTCAGCCACGTCTAATGTTAGTATACTGAAGAAGGAAAATATTGCTCAAAATATTGCTAAAGCTGAAAACGGACAGGTGGTGGCAGCATTGGCCAGCTGCTGCGGCAGGACTGCTCAGGGCCGAGGCGGAGGACCTGGTGTTCTCAATCTGTCAGCCTTGCTTTTCTTAACGAAGTAAGGAATGAATTCTGCAAGCTGGAAAATGATTTGGCCCAATCAAGATAACTTTCTTCAGTTCTGGTGGAAAATATGCCAGGTGCTATGTGTTGCAATGAATTAAATAATTTAATTGGAAGGGTGCTGGGTGAGCTGGTGGAGGTAATTTGGGATGGTAAAGCCCTGGCAAAACGAGCAGCTGCCCACGAGCCTGCAGTCGGCAGTCTGGAATTCCAACAGGAGCAGGTTGCTGATTACATGAAGGCAGAGCTTCAGTAACAGCCTTGGGGCCTGAGATTTTTTTTTTTTTTAAGTTTTGCTCTTATAAGGACAAAGACAGATTATTACACGAGATCCTGTATCTCTCCTGCTCTTGTAGGTGTATTGCTGTCCATTCTCTTCTTTATAGTCCCTGTACTGCAGGGCAGCTGGGTTTGGATTGTTCTTCATAGGCTTCAAAAGAAAAGCTGCTGATGTCAGACAAAGGTGGGGCTGATTTGAAAACTTAGGGCTTGGTTTTTCTTTAAGTGGAGCCAAAGGAAGTGGGTATTTTACTTCTAGTAAATGATCTTTATTGATGAAGAAGAAAAATATTGGCGAGTCATAGTAGCTAATGTTCATTGACCATTGCGTCTTTGTGAGGCACATGCTAAGCCATGTCGACACATTTCTTTTATTTATTTTTATTTTGTTAGTTGTAATTGGACACAATACCTTTTATTTACTTATTTACTTTTATATGGTGCTGAGGATCGAACCCGGCACCTCCCATGTGCTAGGTGAGCGCTCTACCACTGAGCCACAACCCCAGCGCTGACACATATATTAATAGGTAAAATAACACCAAGATGCAGGTACTGTTATTATTCTTATTTCACAGAGGAGGGAAAAACAGATTAAGTGACTCCCCAGCCAGTTTGTGGTGGAGCTGGGCCTCAGCCCCACTGGGGTTCCTGTGTCCTGTGCCCCGCTGCTGCACTGCCTGATGCTACCTTCTGAGGGTGCTTTTTTACTGAGCAGTAATCCATAGCTGTTGAAAAAGAAAAACTCTTCAGGGCTGAGCCAAGGAAAGAGAGACCCACTTTAGCCAGAGCAGTATCAGCCTAACTTTAGTTGTTCATCAAAAAAATCTGTTCCATAAAAGGCAGGAGACATTTGATAATGGGGAAATACAAGATTGTCTGCTTGTGTTCAGGGAAAGGCTGAATATTGGATCACTTGGCTACTGTAAAACGGAGATAGAAAATATTTTTCCACTTTTTGAAGCAAAACACCTTTACACTCAAATCAACTCTACCCTTTCCTTTGCTGTGTAGGCCAAACGTAGGAAGAGAGGAGAGGGTGAGAGATCCACAGATGCCCACAGAACCCTTGTGGCAGTATCACCAGAATTCTTGACAATTCCCACTGAGAAAGCAAACAGGAGCAGAGTCTAGGAAGGTCTGCATAAGGGCAAAGCCTTATGCCAATCAGAGGCCTCTAGAAGATAACAGCATCAAGTCAAGAAAGTTACGGGAAACTTTTCAAAGTCGTTTGTACTTTTTGCATTTCCTCCGCAGTAAATTAATCCTCTTACATTTTAGAATTAGCATTCCTCCTGTGGTTTAGAGTTTTTCTTTGTAGGCTCATCTTCAGAGAGTTGTTTGATTTTACTTTTCTATCTCTGTATCACTTCACTATCCCTTTCAGGCAGTTTCGAATTATTTCCAGAACTTTCAAACCAGAGCTGAGTTTCCTATGGATGGCTAAGGCTCCCACCCTGGGATGAGGGTGGGGGTACATCAGTGAGCTCGTGGAAAGCTGGGCCAAGCATCAATCAGAGACAGGCTCTTTCTGCTGCTTCCAGACACAACAGGTCTCCCTGGGACAGGGGTCATTCATGTTCTTTGTCCCACATCTCTTCTTCTTTGCCAAGAGGGAGCCTAGGGCCATTACAGCCTCCTGCTGTATTACTTTCATTCTCCATTGTAAAGAGACAGACTCTGCTCCTTCCAGGACCAGGAGCCAGGTTGCTCCAAGTCTTCATCTCAGCTTTGCCACTTTGTGTTTTGTTGGTTTCTGCTCCAAGAAGAAGTGTCCCCAATAGCCCTGTACCCTTTCCTTGTCTTACCTTTTCTCTGTCACTGCTGTGTCTAGAATGAAATGGGATGTCAAAAGCATAAACTCATAGCAATATCTTTGCCAGGAAGAGAGATTTCAACAAAACATAAGCAGACAAAATTCTAATTTAAATCTGCTTAAAATAGGCTCACTCTGAGCACAAATCAAAAAGGGGAGGTTGAATGATCATCTCTCAGAGAAGTTTTGAAGAGAAGACTTCCTTTTTCTATCTCTGTGTCACTTTTTCATCATCTAATGGGATGTTGCATTAGATTTCTGCTAAATTCCATTGCATATCTGCATGTCTGGTTCTACCTGAGCTGTTTGTATCTGTAATCAGTGATCTCTGATGGTTGGGCTTTCTGAGCATTTTTGTTCTTTTTCATGACCTTTAAGCTCTCTTCTAGTACTTTAATAGAGGTGTTTGGCTTTTCCTGTGTTTGCCTCTACTTTCAAGAGCACAGGAAGAGTATCTAGCATGGTCATCAGAAACAATTTAGCATCTGGTGTTTTGTTTTCTTTCTTTGGCCAGCTTTGGTGGTATTATGTGTAAAAAAAAAATGCTAAAGAAGCCCTGGGGTCAAAAATCTAATGAATTGCCTAGGAGTAAATGACCAGTTTGGAGGAATGAATGAACTTTCTGACATTCTGTAGATAGACATTTTTACCTGGATTTTTAGTGTGACTTATTGAGTGAATGTAGAGGTGTGTCTTTTCAGAGGGCGAACACAGTCTTAGACTTTGTTGGTTGACAGGCGAAGCTTACATCCTGGGAAAGAAATCATATGAAGGAGGAGAAAGGATTTTAGAAGGAAGTCAAGAGAAGTAATACACTCCTCTGACTCGGCCATTTTATTTAGTCAGAAAAATCACATGATCTCTCTTCACCTTGAACAATAAATTTGTGTGATAACTGAATTTAATTCATCAGTTTCTAAGGTTTCTCTATCCTCAAAGAGGCCAAAATCACAGGCCGTTGCCTCTGGGACACTCAGGCCATATCCTGAACTGGGCTTGGTTCTTTTCTTGAAGATTCCCTACCTCATTGTGAAGAGGGTGGCCATTGGTGTTGGTCATATCTAATTTTAAGTGCCACCTGTACTGCATAAACAGTGTGATATTAAGGAGGTCACTTAAACATCCTAATCTCAGCTTCTTTATCCATTAAATGGGAATGAAAGTTACATCTATAGAGTATTTTGAAATTTAATAAGACAACTCATTGCAGGATTATTCTCAGGCATAGTGCCTAGGAAACCATTAAGCATGCTATCTTGTTATTGAGAACAGACATTCTACCTTTGATCTTAGACTAACTCAGTTATCTCTTCCTTTCAGCTGTGTTTTACTGGAATGGGTTCATTAACTGTGCTATGAATGCTTTAAGAAAACATGACTCTCATACAAATATGGAATGAATACCTGTCAAATTTAGTTGGCTCTGTAATGAGGGACCCAGTAAAATGGTAAAGCTGACTGAGAGAAGCAGAGGAGAAGAAGAAATATGTAGTTCAGACCACAGTACTTTCCTAAACTTGAGACAAATTGGTTAATGTCATGGGGAACTATAACCACAACCTTTAATCTTCTCTTCTTGACATTTGCAGTTCTACCATGTTAACCTACAGTTATAAAATTCTTTATATAGGCCTGTGAAACACTATTCTTATATGACATTGTAAAGATACGCAGGTTCCTTTTTGCTTTTTCCAGGTTTGGGGTAATTTTTCTAAATGGTTATAATAAGACCACAACCTAAGTATTATTTATCGTAGAAAAAGATTAAACGGGGTATATTATTCTAGTATATAAGTATCTCTTTTCTACCTAAACTTATAATAGATACTAGGTCCACCCATAATTATCTTTTCATAATGTTTCATTAAAGAGGCTACGTGGATATTTAGGAAAAAAACAATTTGCAATGCTGAGGAAGGAGGGCAACCATCAATTAACAAGTACTTTTACAGGCCCTAGATCATATAAAGGGCATTATACACATTTTAGTTTAATCTCCAAACAATCCTGTGAGGTAGGTATTATTATTCCACTCCAAAATAGGTAAATGGGTCTCAGTGAAGTTAAATAATTTAATCAATGTTATATAGTCAGATTTTCCTGTGCCCTGTTATAGTAACTCTCCTAAATTTTAGAGTACGTATCTAGCTAAATACACAGATGATGGGTCTAGTTTTGCTTATGTGATAAAGCATGGTCCTTTTCCTATGAAGAGATTTACCTTTTTGAAACTGCCTGAGATAAGTGGCCTTTCTGTCCCCTACATATTGGATTAAAACGTGTTTGCAAGAGAAGTAAAACCTCAGCAATCATTTGGTTTAGTTCTGTATAGCCTCCCCTCAAACTGTCTTCTTTGTAAACTTATTTATCTTTCTTTTCTGTCTTCTGGTCCCCAATGTGTCTGTAGGTGGGCTGGATCCTTTCCATCCTGGATGAGCTGCAGCTGAGCCCCCAGCCTCCTGTAGGGGTCCTTCCTCTGGGGACTGGCAATGACCTGGCTCGAACTCTCAACTGGGGCGGGGTAAGCATCGCTCTCAGAGGCTGCCCCTACCACAGGAGCAGACAGCATTCCTGGATCCCCCACATGCTTGGGAAGATTCTTAGAGGGAGGCACGATGCTGTTGGTGCCCAAGAGATGAGTTAGAAATGGGAGTCAAAGTACCCATGACCCTGATTTTATTTGGTAGCTTCTTCACTTTAAACTTACCATCAGCTAGAGGGAAGGGAAAGTTCAGAATGAGGAAAATGTGTGGTCAAAACACAGGGGTGGGGTATTAAGAGGTGCCTACTAGGACATAGTGTCGGGGGGTTGGTCTCCAGTCCTTACAAATTTGAATTAATCCTGCTCTCAGCCCTGGTTAGAATAACAAATAAGATTTAGATCTACGGTCCTACTTTTGGGCAGTAAAATCCTTACCTTATGGCTTTTTTGAGCATGGGTTTTTTTTTTTTTCTGATCAGTGTTATCATGGCTTTGGCTATACAGGTATTCGACTCTCCTTCCCAATATGGAGCATCTTAAGGCAAGTGTGGGGGGAAGTAGTTCTCTTGTCACTAACTGGCCATCCTATTGTTGTTGTTTGATTGAGTAGTACTAAGATATTAAGAAGGCACAAGATACTAACGTATACCGCCATACATATCTACCTTTTACCTACTCACATAAGTCTCCATCTCATATGAAAATGATCTTCAGCAGACATTAATCTGGCCTTTGGGTACATTAACCTTTTATAGAATTTCATTTTGCTTTGTGGTTTATAGTCAGCAATATGTAAGTAAATATATTCATATGCAGCAACTAAGGGATTATCAGTGCTCATTTCTCACATCCCAATTAGCTTCACATGTTAATAATCACATTGTCCACAATGCATCCAGGAGGAATGAGTAGCTCCCTAAGAGGTTCCTCAGTCTGATTTGCCTCAGGTCACAGAAGGATGGTGGACTGAGACACTACCAGGGAGGGGTGACTGAGATGGAATGATAGTAGGAGAAACTGATTGATTGGAATCCTGACTTGATTCTTCCTTTTCTACACACATTTGTTCTGTGTACCCCTGAATTGCTCTAGTAAGTGGAATGAAAGTCCTATTTTTTACTCCAATAAAAACAGCCCTCCAGCATGACCCTCAGTGCCCACCACTGGCTCTTGGTGCTGGGAAAAAAAATTATTTTTCAGCTTAAATCAGTGAGAGTGAGTGTTTTAAGTCCCTTGCCTATAGGTGTTGCCTGATGTTTTAATACCTGGAGAAAAGCAGCTTGCTCTCCCAGCCTGGCTAACATCAAAATAAGCAGAGCCATAGCAGAAGGACCCTTCTTTGCATGCTGTAGGATCAGAGGCGTTGCGTCACTCCCCACAGCAATGGGTGTCTTCTTTGATTTTGTCCTCAGGGTTACACAGATGAGCCCGTCTCTAAGATCCTATGCCAGGTGGAGGACGGGACCATTGTACAGCTAGATCGCTGGAACCTCCATGTGGAAAGGAACCCAGACTTGCCTCCAGAAGAGCTTGAAGATGGCGTATGTAAGGTTAGAGAGTCCTTCCTTCAGCAGAAAGGAGCCCCGGAGCATCTTCCTAAGTCACAGGAAACACATTTCTGGCTGTAGAGTCCTGGGCTGATTCCTTCCTATAACAGGGCAGCATTTGAGTTCCTGTCTCCCGGGGCTGTGAGAGTAATAGCACCACCCCCACGGAACCTGCCCCGTGGACCCTCTTTAAAGACTCAGATTTCATGCTTGCTTCCAGAGCTTAGGAAGTTGTCTTTAACTTTCACACTAGCAAGGCATGAATCCCCTATTTTAATCATCCAAGTTAATTGTAAACAACTTATGAGAAGATGGAATATGTACGTGTTCCAAAGCATCAAGCATATGGTCCTTTCAGTGGAAAGAAAACCTCCTGAGATGTCTGGCCTGATATCAAATATTCCTTATGTGTAGGAGGTTTGAACTAAGCCAATTTCTTCACCTGGTTGGGAGTTGAAGATGCCTAAATAAATGCTTTGCCTCAGTGTTTTCTTCTAGTTACTGAGCTTTCAGTTCAAGCCAAACCAAGGGCCTATATTTATAGAGAGTGCTGTTGTGCATCTTCCCTAGAACATCTGGTTCTGAGTTCTGGCCTCAATTTCTGTTAAATTTTGTGGTTTACCGAGAAGATGCTTTCTCTGTGTTACTTTCCACTTGTCTTCTATGATAGTGTTTTCAGACTTTTGTATGTGCAAGAATTTCCAGGTGTATGTTAGAGGCAAGATTTCAGAGCTCACTCACCAGGCATCCTGATGAATTAAATGTGGGGAGAAGGCCCAGGCATCTACACTTGAAACAGCATCCCTGCTATGTTGTACCCTGCCATTGACGAGGCCAAGATTTCATGGGTCTTTCAGCCTTAAAGTAGACTGAACGCCACTTCATTTAGGCCAAGTCCATTCATTCAGTAGCACCATGATCCTGACCAATTGAGATAGGTGCTTTCAAGTTTCTTATTTGGTTAAAATATGTTTCACCTTGTCTTCCTAGTTTTTTCACCTAAAATTGTGATTCTGTATTTAATAAAGTTTCTAGTACATACCATGACTGCTCCGTTGAATCAAATGTCCCTTATGTATAGGAGGTTTTAGCTAAGCTGAGTTCATTATGTATAATTGAGTGTATAATGTAATGATGCAGTTTAAACAACAAGGATGTAATCCTTTTTGGGGGGAACGGGTTACCAGGGATTGAACTCAGGGGCACTTGACCACTGAGCCAGAAATATAATACTTTTAACAGATGTATTTATTTGAACTTATAGAAATTGGATAGAAAATAGTTAAAATAGAAAGAAGAGTTACCACATGAAAAATTTAAGGCCCTTCTACCAAATTTGGAATGGTTTGGCCTATAACTGAAGTCCACATTTAATTCTCTTCCCAACAGTTTAAGAAATGGAAAGACTTCTCCATGTAGCCAGGGAACATCAGTACAGATAATTAAAGGGCTTTGGAAATTGAGTTTTGAGGAGATGTGTAGGAAAATAGGGGCACATTTTCTTGGAAAATATGAATAGCTTAAAAACAAGTTAAATTGGGACATTATTTAGGGGGATTGTGACCAGATGTTTTCCTTAACCATCAGTGGATGCTAAGACATGGGTTAGAATTGTAGCCAAAAGGACATAAATGGCAGAGGAGGAGAACATGTGTGTGGTTTTGGCAGGATTGCCAGACTGTCCTCACTTAGAACTGATATTTTAAGTACAGGAACTGGACATTCTCAAATATGAAGCCAGGAGAGACAGACATGATTTTGGCCTTGTTCTATGTGTGTAATTTCTCTCTTGGCTCTCCAGTTAGTGAAAACCATTTCTAGGGGTTCAGTTAGCCTCTGGGTCATTATAGGCTCAGATTCTGAGGCTTGCATGTGGGGTCCTTCCTTACTTCCATTAGAGACCCAGGCAATCTAAGGTCTTTCTTTCTGCATTGGTATCTCTCTTGCTCTTTCTCTCTTATTTTGTTTTCCCAGTAGTAAGACATAAAATCTTATAGATTGTGATTGTGAGGCCTGTGAAGCCATGCAATAAGCTTACTTTTGAAACCATGAGGGTTAAAACGCTTACTTCTGATAATAGAGAGGTGCAGTTCAGCTTGGGACACAACCCTGATAATTAACTGTGAATTTGACCTCTCTTTATTTACTTTAATGTTTATCTTTCAGTTTCCCATGTTGCATTTTTCTACCTGTTCTAACACTTAACCAAATCTTTAACATGATATAGATTTTACAATTTTTAACATGGGGTTTTAGACTATTTAGCTTTCTTCTTTACCAACTCGAAGCAGGAGCAGCCAGGGCCCCAAAGGCTGTGGGCAGGATAGTTAAGCTAACGTGTGTGTTTCTGTGTGGGTGTTTGTAGACTTCAGTCATATCAAAGATGCAGGCTTGATAAACTAAATGGGAACCCGAATTTTGCTGGTGTATGTACATATGTATATACATATCATATGCATGTATCATATATCATATATATGTATCATACACACACACTTAGGTGTTTATCTTCCCTTTAGATCAACAATACCTGAATGATTTTCACTGCCTTATTTCTTTTATGAGTTTTGTCATAAAAATTATTTTTAAAGATAGGGTATAAACAGATTATATATTGTTCATTTTAAGTTACAATATTCATATGCTGAATATGAACTCTTGAAAAAAGTGTATCCACTGATTAGGTCCGTTAGACATTATCCTTACAATTGAATTGGCTTTCCAAGTTTGCTTAGTGAACTGATCTTTATAGCTATCGCAGATGTGTACCCTGAGATTAACAAGTTTCAGTTATTGCAACATGTGTGAGAGTGATTCTTATTTAATAATTGATATCTACAGCTCTTATTCCTTATACAATTTATAATTCTTGAGTTAGTTACTTGATTTGGACTTTCATGAAAGAATTAATTCAAGAACCCTACTCTTTCTACCTGCTTTGGGTTGTGGCTGATTTCTCCCAGGGACTGGCCCCAGAACTAAGTAACTGGCATTAGATTTTATTTTCTCTTTCTAACCAGCTACGTATAGTTTACCTCTGTCTTTGTTTATCATTGCAGCTTCCTCTGAATGTTTTCAATAATTACTTCAGCCTTGGATTTGATGCTCATGTCACACTGGAGTTCCATGAATCCAGAGGTGAGGACAACGTCCCATTTCCATCTCCCAGGGAGGAAGTTCCCAGCAGGTGTTTTGCATGTTCCCTTTTGTTTACATATCACTTAAGTGTTTGCAGTGTGCTTCAGTATTGTTCCATTTTAACCTTCATGATGACCCCGGGAGCTAGTCCCAATGGGAAGTGGCTGCAAGAGGGGCCCTGAGACCTAATAGTTTGGGGTCTCAGAGATACTAAAGTACCGGACTAAATGTACATTCCAGCTCTCAGGACTGTTAACCTTTAACTTTGAATGGAAATTTTGAACTGAGTGAACTACTAAGATAAAGAGAGATGATTCCACCCAAGGGTACTCACAGCCTCACAAACCACAAGTGACTGAAGCTCCATAGGTCATTACCAGAGCCATTGAAAGATGACAGCAAAACAAATAAGCAGCAGGCATGTAGATAACAGGGGCTACAGATAATTTGGACACCAAAAGTGTAATGGTGATTGAATTAGGGATAAAGGTAGGTGATTCCCAGTGGATGAGACAGATGCGAATGAGGCAGCGGGGCAACTTCAAGTACTAAAAGAGATGGGGAACAAACAAAACAAGTTTTGAAAGAGACGAAAGATGAAATAATGAAATGTGATGAAAATATTTCACTCAAATTTTCTTAAGCTATTCAGGGCTGAGAAAGTTTGGGATTTCTGTATATGCTTGGTAAACTCAAACAATCTCTTTTTTATTCTCTTGGTCTCTGTCAATCTCTTTCTCTCACTCTCTTCCTATGAATGTAACTAAACTTTATGTCTATCGATGACTTATGTTGGTACCTGGTTTCTTGCAAGTATATTTATATATCCCTAAAATAATGCCAGGAGGTAGGTAGCATTGAACTTTATTCAGAAACTTGGGAGGTGGAAGTCATAAATGAGGAATTACTTTACTTCTTTACCTCAAGGTTCTGCAGAGCTCAAGTAGTTTTAAACCATAGAATTTGAAATACAGGGTCCTATAAGCTAGAATTGAAAACTTCACATTCTGGCAATAAGGTAAAAAAAAAAAAATTCTGATAATGCTCCTAGGACTAAAATGCCCAGGGTGGAGCTATTCAGACTGTTAGAATACAAATTGCAGCCAAAGTACAGATCTAGAAAGTCCCTCATAGAGTTCAGGCATTTTGGTAGACCTTGGCCTTTCTGGTTTCATGAGGCATTGAGGGGAGAGTCTCTTTAGGAGTCATATTCTATGCCAGAAAAGAACGATACTCAAGCCAGAGTTTGGTCTTCTCTGATTAACTGGAAAATCACACAGAAAGGATGTTTGATAAAAGAATCTTAAATATCCCAAATCAGAAGCACCTTTGCCCTCCCACATCCTGCTATGGACAAGTCTTGGAGATGTGGTAGTAAGAGGCATCTACATAAGGCCACATTATCACCTATTGTTCTTCCTATGTTTGTGGAGACTTCATTTGGAAAGTAAATGGGACATTTCACTTTTTATTTCTTGGCCCATTTTTTCCTTTCACATTTTTTATGAGACTGGACCTAGCCTTCTTAATAAGATTCCCAAGTTCCTTAATAACACATATAAAAGAACAGAGTTTTCACTAATACACGAATTTCCCAAAATAGGCCTCCTGGCATGAAAAGAAATCTAAATGAGTAAGTAGCCCACAATGAGCCCATTTAAGTGAGTCTAATACTTAGTCTAATTATCCTGAAAGGTATCCTAATGATACACTTTTTTGTAGTTTGATGAAATTTATATGCATAAAGTAAGAAGAGACCTGGGAGTGACACAAAGTGGAAAAACCAGGTTTATAAAATAATTCTTTGGGGAAAAGTAATTTTTTTCTTCTTACTTTAGGCTATGGGACTCTTTAATTTTAAAGTAGATTATGCAAGTGTGTGTGTGTGTGTGTGTGTAAACATAGTTTAAATGAGTGATATTAAAAAACAATCAACTAAGGATTCTAAGCATTAATCTTTGAATACTTTAGTGCAAAGGCTTAGTGTAATTGTTTTATGTGATATGAAATGGAATTGCTAGCATTTTTCTTATATGCAAACCAGAGCCTTTGGAGGAAAACCAGGTACAAAGAGCTAATAAAGGAGAATTTTGTTGATTGAGAATAATAGATAAAATATTCATAAAGATGAGATTGAGATGGTGAAAATAAATGTCCATAATACAATAGAACTAAATTTTGTTGATACTCCAAGTATCAGAAATCTCAGTATTTATTAATATATATTTTCACATTAAATTAAAAAAATGTTTGCATGAAAAGTATAATTACTAAAGCTAGTTTTTAAACTGATTTCTGTTCATTTGGATTTCCCCCATATTTTTATCTGGTCAGTCAAGAAAATCTTAAGCTAAGCTACAGGAAAAAATGAAACATAAGTCAGGCCATTTTTCAACAGGGGTGGGGATGATTCATTCTTGTTGGTAAGGTGTGAGTGGCTGTTCTCAGACAAAGACTACTCAGAGATGAGACTTCAGACTGTTCTTAGACATAGTCATTCACAATATTAAGGTTTAATGATAAAACTTGTATAATTTACTATAAAATACCTGCAGGGTGATTCAAGTCTCAAGAGAGCCGTTCTGGAAAAAAAAATGATTCTGGATAAAATAACCTATTAGGTATTAGTCAAGAAATACAGTATTTTAAACTGGGAACTATGCCAATCTGTCTACATGCAGTAGTTTATAAATATAAATCTCATGAAGGCAGAATTTTTAAAAATGTAATTGCAGAAAGAATTTTTGGCATAAATAAGAGAATAGCTCATCAAATGGACAGTTCTTAGCATAACTTATAGGCCATGTATTTCTTTTAGAAAGGACAATTAAAGTGCCATTTATTTTGAAACAGTTTATTGGTGTCATTACAATGCAAATGCTTTTAGAATTACTAGTAGAAAGTCCAGCAGGGAATATGCACAGTCTTAACATTTTGTTTGACTTTGTTTATAAAGGCAGCAAATATTTGACAACTTGGGTTTTTAATATTTGATAACAAAGAAAGCATACTTCATTTGGTTGGAAACAGAGATGCTTATTCTCAAAGTGACCAAGGCACTCATGGTTGAATTTGTGCTACTCAAGTATCAAAAAGTGCAGTAATATGGAACAGAATTTGGAGATGTAATAGGATTGATCATTTAATTGTCACTTGGGGTATTGCCCAGTACTTTCATCATCACTGTATTATCACAGTGCTTGAGGGAGTATATTGAAAATATTCCAATCTATTAATGTTTAACCTTGTTAACAATGATTATGGTTATCAGTGACAAAGTTAGGTCTCACTTTGTCAACCATGTGAATGAGATTGTTACTTTTTGGGTCTGGATATTAAATACATCAAACATCTAGCCTGAGATTGGATGCTTGCATTTTATTGCCTCATTGACATTATCATTCAGAGGAGTTGAACCTTATGCTACAAGGTCAAGGAAACGCAATTATGTCTCTGGAGGAGGCAGTATTTAAATTTGATTTAGGATTTACTATTTTCACTGAATATACAGAGACTTGCAGATCAGCACCTTTCAAAGGATTGTCAATGTCTTATGACTCATTTCATAGGAAACAGTCATATTTTTCTAAAAAAGTGTTCCTTGCAGTGGTTTGCTAAATTCCATCACTGTTGTCACTTCGAGGGACACGCTGCATGTCTTTTGTCCAGGCACTGAAGCTGAAGTGCAGTGTGCCCTGGAGAAATTCACTGCCTGCAGTCTCTGTCTGAAACTTTCTTTTCCATCTTGAACTTCTGTGTGTCACCCACTTGTCATTCATGATTCAAGTATACCTCCCTCTGGAACACTTTCTTGATCACTCTACCACTTCATCTCACAAAAATATCATCCATAGTAAAAAATTATGTTCTATTTTTCATTTTTCGACCTGTCACCTCTACTCTGAACTTCATGAGGGTAAAAGACCACATCTTTATTTTCATATTCCCAGTTCACAGCCCAATGGCTATCTCCATTAGTATTTGTTGCAGTAACAGAATGTTTGATTGCAGGACAGCTCCCACTGATAAAAGATAAATAGTAGAAGAAGGTACATATAGTGAAGGCAATGCTAGTTATAGAGGCCATAAATAATATGGGAGTTCAGCAGGACTATTGACAGAGGAAGAATATGGGGTAAATTTTCAGAAAGTATAGATGGAAATATGGCTGGGAGATGAAAGAAGAGTATGATATAGACAAGAAATGAAGTTGATGAGAGCATTTCAGACAGGAGAAAAAAGTACAGAGATAATGAACTTGTCGTAGGGATGGGTTCAATGAGCAATTAATACACAATAACATTTTTATGATATTAGAAAAATGATGATAAAGTCCATAAAAATATTTTTCCTTAAGTGGAGATGATGTTGGAAAAAATGAAAGATTTTTTTAGTGCATACAATTTGAATCTAGGATGGTGATGTTACCATAGGCACAGGTTATGGAGTCATTGAACTAAAGTTTTAAAATGAAATAAGTATCCAATGGAGAGAATATGGAAGTTGTGTGAGGCATATGAGGTTCAAATTGCCTGTTAATTTTTACAAATACAGTTTTGCATTTGCAAATACCTCATGAATATGTCTCAGGAAAACTGAATTTGGTATGCATTTCAGTAAAGATGTTGGAAATAGAGTAAAGAAAAAGTATGGTAAAGATATGCATACTCAATTTATATGTGTGCTTGAACAAGTTTTTAAGATCTGTAGGTGAAAGCCCCAGTTTGAATTATGAGTTAGGGAGACTTCCTTGTCAATGTACGAGCTGGCATAAATGAATGTGCATGTAGGTAACATGAGTAATAATCCAATTCTGAAAACTTGGAAATGTATTTTACCATGTGGAGTCTCTGTTCTCAGTATCTGTGTTTACAGTTGTCTTTTCACCTCACCTTTAGGTTGAGCTGCTTTTCTCTTTGAGTATCTCATCAAAGGCAATTTGGGCTAAGATTAGTTGAAGCAAGTGTGCATGCAGCTTTTTTAACCAGTGTTTTACTCAG